AAATCAAAAAATTAGATAACAGTTCACATCCCTTAGGAGAGCTACTAAAAAACCCAAACAAACAGAAACTAAGAAGTGTTGGTGAGGACATGGAGAAATTGGAACCCTCATGAATTGCTGGTGGGAATATAAAATGGTACAGCTGCTGTGGAAAAGTCTGGCTATTCCTCAAAAAGTTAAATACAGAATTACCACATGACCCAGCAATCCCACTCCTAAGTGTATACAGAAGAGCAATGAAAACAAAAAATTGTTTATGTATGTTCACAACAGCATTAATCCTAATAAAGCAGGCTGGAAGCAGTGGCTCACGTCTATTATCCTAGCACTTTGGGAGGCCAAGGCAGGAGGATCACTTGAGGACAGGAGTTCAAGACCGGACTGGGCAACATAGTGAGACCTCACCTCCCAAAAAAGAAAATGAGCTGTTGCGCGGTGGTACACACCTATAGTCCCAGCTACTTGGGAGGCCAAGGTAGGAGGATTGCTTGAGGCCAGGATTGCTTTGAGACCAGCCTGGGTAACAGAGTGAGACTCCATATCTACCAAAATAGTAAAAACTAGCTGGGAGTAGTGGCACACGCTTGTTGTCCTTGCTGCCTGGGAGGCTGAGGGAGGAAGATCGCTCGAGCCCAGGGCACCATTGCACTCCAGCCTGGATGACACAGTGAGAACTTGTCTCAAATTTAAAAAACCAAAACCAAAACAAAAAACATTCAAATATCCATCAAGTAATGAATAAATAAACGCTGTATATCCACACAATGGAACATTCAGCTAGAGTCTAGTATTGATACATGCTACAACATGAATGGACCTGGAAATATGCTAAGTGAAAGAAGCCAGACACAAAAGGCCACATACTGTATGACTGTATTTATATCAAATATCCATAGGCAAATTACAGAGACAAAAAGGAGGTTAGTGGTTGCCAATGGCTGGAAGGTAGGGGATTGACTGCTTAATAGGTTTGGGGTTTCTTCTGAGGTGATGAAAATGCTCTGGTATTGAATTATTGTGATGATCGCACACACTAAATGTACTGAAAGCCACCAAACTGTACGCTTTTAAAAATGGTGAATTGTTACCTAAACTTTATCTCGATTAAAAAAATCATAGAAAAGAAGATAATCAGAGAACGTCACATGCAGAAAGGGCTGGCTCATAAATAGAAATAGACACATGGGGGGTGTCTAGTGGGTTACGGTATAAAATATACGAGGGCTGTCCAGAAAGTATCCAGGCATTGTTAATATAATG